CCCACAGTTCTCTTAAGCCGTCTTCCTGTTTTTAATTGTTTTTTCTTTTTGATTTTTTGATTGGTTGATTTTTTTCTACCATCTTCTAACTCACTGATCCTGTCCTCAGCTTCCTCTACTCTGCTGTTTAGACCTTCCAATGTGTTCTTTATTTCTCATATGTCGTTCTTCATTTCTTCTCGGTGGTTTTTAATTTTTAATTGGTTGATTTTCAATATCTCTATGTCCTTTTTCATGCTTGAGCTTCCTGAAGATCATGGTTCTGAATTCTAGCTCTGCTAACTTGACTAACTGCTCCACATTTATCCCATCTTTAGTAGAGGTCTCTTGTTTTTTTATTTGGCTTCTTTTTCTGTGTTTCACCATTTTGGGTATCACAGTGGGCTTTGGAGTCTGCCAAGTTTTCCCTGTGGGTTTTGGTGTTCTGCTGTTTGTGGCTCCCTCTCCTGGGTTTGGATGAGCGAGGGAGAATCCACGTTAAACACCACTGTCAAGTATTACTTTCCTGGTTAGAGTTACTAGTCCAGGAATGGTACAGTTATCCTTTAGCTTTTTCTCTGGAGGCTATCAGCAGTGGTTACTTGAAGAGTTTTGGGTTGTCAGTTGATTGAAAAACTCCCTCATGCGCTCTGCATAAGGAGATTTCCCAAGGGTGGGGCATATGCTGGTTGTTAGTGAGCCTCTATTTGCATTTCAATGGCCCACAGGGTGGTGTTGAATCTCCGAGGGAGGGGCCGTTGTCTCTCATTAGAGCTCTGGGAAGGAGCAAGATGGCTACAGTCCTGAGTGGCTGCAACTCAGCAACAGCTGTGAGCCCCCTCCAAATCCCCAGTGTCCCCACACAGTTCCAGTTTAGTCTGCCCTCCTTCTGCGGGAGCCCAAGGTGAGTGGCTGTGGCTATTTTAGCGTCTGTCCCGGCTCTGCGCTGTGGAGCCGCTTGGGAGTGTAACCCAAGGGCACTGCTCACAGCTAAGGCTGCTGCTCTCTGTGGGCTCCCAGCCCCCCTCTCGCGCCTCTGCAGTCCTACCCCAATCGAGTCAGTGCCCCTGGTTATATAATCCTTGCAAGCTGCTATTCTGTTGCTTTTTCCCGTCAATTTGTCTGTGTTTTAGTTGTAATTGCAGTTTGGTCCTGGGAGATGGTCTGTGTAGCTTCCATTCACTCCGCCGCCATTTTGGAATCCTCAGTAAGTTTTTTTGTTACTGCATATTTCTCAGGGTCTTTAATAGGGCAATATATATTTTGGTTCTGGTTGGGGCTTTGGAGCCCAAGCCTGTTTGCGTCTGGAAAGTTTGGTTCTGATTAAATATCTGAATAGAGGTTATTTCTGGAATTATGAGTGATTTTTATTTTCTTCTTTTAGTTCTCAGTATATCCTACTGTGAGAACTTAACTTCTATTTTCAGGAAGGATTCAATATTATTTAAAAGTAAGCCTTGGTGGTGCATCACAGGAAGTTAGAATCAAGGTGTAATAGACGAGGAAAGTGGAGGTAATCTTTGGCACATCATAGAGAGGTGAGCCAGGCTGACCACATTCTCCCACAGCATGGTGAACATCTTTTCTTGTAACCTCCTGTTACTTTCCTCCCATCCTCACACTCATTGTGCGCTCCAGGGTTGCTGAGTCTGGCTCCTGAGTCCTCATGGCTTGGCACATAATACGCCTTCAATGAGCAGTTGAAAGACTCTCAAAGATGAGAAATGTGTATAGAAAATAATACTTGCCTGAAATATGCTGAAATATAATGATGTTTATCTCTCAGTAGTGGAGTATAGATAGTATTTTCTACTTTATAAATTTTTCCTATTTTCTTCAGTGGGCATACTCTCCTCTCATAATATTTTTAGATAGTACTTTTAAGAAAAATTACAGACTCCTTTTGCTTGGCTCCTCTTTCTTCCCTTCATGACAGAGGAACTTTGTGGGATTCTTTATGCCTTGCCTGCTCTCCTCGGAAAACCAATTAATTGAAGGCCTTAGATTTACCAACTTTCAGGATTTCATGGTGGGAACTGAAACAAGTATTTTTGAAAGAAGGTCTCATCTGAACACTGTGTTCCTTAGTTAATAAGAAAGAAACAAAGTCCGTGCAGAATGATGTTTGGTTGAGCTTCTTTTAAATATTTAGGAAGAGGAAAAGTTGTTTCTTTTACAGAACAATGAAGACTCTTATCTACTAGTACCCCAATGGGATCCCCCTATTGTGAACTTCCTTGGGTTCTTTATAGTTTCCAGTTCCAAAGGAGTAAGCTGGCAGGGAGCTGGGATTTGAGGGTGGCCTGGCATCTGTGGGAAGTGTGATTATTCAGCTCTCCTGGATACCTGTTAGGATCAAGGCAGGAGGAAACCTCACAGCCGACTGACAGTGTTTATAGGAGGTGGGGTTAGTTATGACCCCATGTAGGGTGTGACTGAGGTTCCAGTGGGGTCATGAGAAGGGGTATGCCAGGCTTGAGTGTGAGTTCCAACTCTTTCTCCTGCTAGGCCTGGTACCTTGGGCAAGTCATCTAAGTGGCCCACATTTCTCTGGGTGCCTCCAGCTTGAGTGTAAAGGTCACCGTGCAGCAGAATGGGTCCTTCACTGACTGTGTGTTCTCAAGGGCCAGTTTGTCTTCTTACTTATGCAGAACTGCCCATTTTCTCTTGTAATCTGCTGGAACCAAAGTCACCAGCAATGTCTAGCTGAGCAGAGTCTTGTCAAAATTGCTGGACATCATGTTTCAGGGCCCCAACCCAGAGTCTGACTCAGAGGGTCTGGGTACTCCACTGGTGTTTCTAAAGCAGAGTTTCTAGGGACCAGTGGTGCTTGGTCTTTATGCTCATTGAAATTACCTGGAGAGCTTTAAAAGGTACTGAGGCCTGAGGCTCATCTGAAGGATTATGTTATAATTGCTCTGGGTTGAGGCTTCCTTGTATGGATTAAAAAATTTTTTTTTTAATTTATTAACTTGTTTTTGTTACAGATGTTTCCCATTTTCCCCCCCATTGACACCCTTCTCCCCTTCCCCCCAGCCCCATCTCCAGCTTTGTTGTCTGTGTTCATTGGTCATGCATACATGCATGTAAGTTTTGTGGTTTATTTCTTCCCCCACAACCCCCCCACCCCCCAGGCTTGTCAGTCTGTACCCTATCTCTATGTCTCTGGGTTAATTTTGTTCAGCAATTTGTTTAGTCCATTATATTCCACAAATAAGTGAGATCATGTGATATTTGTTTTTCTCTGCTTGGCTTGTTTTGCTTAGGATAATACCATCTAGGTCCCTCCATGTCTTCTCAAAGGATAAGAGATCTTTCTCTTTTATAGCTATAGTATTCTATTGTGTACATGTACCACAGCTTTTTAATCCACTCATCTACTGATGGACACTTGGTTGTTTCCAGATCTTAGCTATTGTAAATAGTGCTGCTATGAACATAGGGATACATATATTCTTTCTGATTGGTATTTTAGGTTTCTTAGGGTATATTCCTAGAAGTGGGATCACTGGGTCAAATGGCAGTTCAGTTTTTAACTTTTTGAGTTAAAATGGATAACACCATAGTGTTTTCCACAGTGGCTCCACCAGTCTGCATTCCCATCAGCAGTGTACTAGAGTCCCCTTTTCTCCACACCCTCGCCAACACTTGTTTGATGATTTGTTGATGGTGGCCATTCTGACAGGTGTGAGGTGATACCTCATTGTTGTTTTAATTTGCATCTCTCTGATGATTGGTGATGCTGAGCATTTCTTCATATGTCTCTTGGACATTTGTATGTCTTTTTTGCAGAGGTGTCTATTTAGGTGCTCTGTCCAGTTTTTAATTGGGTTCTTTGTCTTCCTTTTGTTGAATTGTATGAGCACTCTCTATATTTTGGAAATTAACCCCTTATCTGATATATTATTGGTGATTATGGTCTCCCATATAGAGAGATCTCTTTTCGTTTTGATGGTTGTTTCTTTTGCTGCGCAGAAGCTTTTAGTTTGATGTAGTCCCATGTGTTCATTTTTTGCTTTGTTTCTGTTGCCTTAGGTGTTGTATCAGTGAAAATTCTACTGCATATGATGTCTGAGATTTTGTTGCCTACATTTTCTTCTAGAATTTTTATGGATTCACGAGTTACATATAAGTCTTTTATCCATTTTGAGTTTATTCTCGTGTATGGTGTAAGTTGGTGTTCTACTACCTTGTATAGATTTTTTAAAGCTCCCAGGTGATTCTAGCATATATTCAAGACTAAAAACTATATCCTCGATGATTTCTTTCCCTACAATGAGGTACTTATAGGAGGGTCCTCTGTTTTGGTATAGATAGTACTCAGATGGCTGTCTGCGCCCCTCCTTCCAGAGCTGTGACATCTCTCCCTCAGTGCAGTTAGGGTGAGCTGAGTGTAGGTTCAAGCTGTCCTTCCTGCTTTATTTCTTTCTTCAAGCCCCATTTTCCTCTTCTATGAAAATGTTAGGACCCACTTCTCAGGTTCTGCTGAGGTTAAATGTGGTAATGGTGTATGTTACACATCTTAGGTGCTCAACCAAGTCCTTCTCTCCTGTCTTAATACCTTCTAGTCTGTGGCTGAGCACATGTTTCTGCACAAAGCAGTGTTAGGTTCTAGATAACATGCTTTCTAATCTCAAAGCCATTAGAAGTTAAGAAAGCAGGACATTTAGGACTAAAATCTAATAGTCTGAGGGGTTGAGCTAGGAATGGGCAGATATAAGGTAGCCAAGGGCATACTGTTTATGGTCTAAGGGTTGACATAAGTGTGGGTCTGTCCTAGAGGGCAGTGGTCTTGTGGCCACCGGCGGTGGGCCTGGAGCCTGCCACTGAAGGAGAAGGTCGGTTTGTTTATTATTAACGGTGGGACCTTGGGTATTTCCTGCAGAGGGATATTTTGTGTACACATTGAAGTCTTGACTGAACCATTGTGCTGTTTACCTGAGCCCCTCTCTAGAAATTTTCCCCTGATATTCCCCCAGGTGCTTGATTTCTGGTTCTAACATGCATTTGTCTTTTACCAGATCTGTGTTGAGGGTAATATTGCCAGCGGGAAGACGACATGCCTAGAGTTCTTCTCCAACACAACAGATGTCGAGGTACAGCCTCCACAGCAGGTTCCTCCACACTAGGTTCTAAGGAACCTGCAAAAGCTTGACAGAGTAATTTATAGGGGGTGTGGACCAGCCCTGTCCAGTAGAAATATAATGTGAGCCACAAATGCAAGCCACATGTAGAATGTAAAATTTCTAATAGCCTTGCTAAAAAAACTGAAAAGAACATTTTATTTAGCATAATGTATTCCAGGTATTATCACATCAACAGGTAATCAATATAAAAATCATCAATGAGCTATTTTGCATTTTGTTTTTCATGTTAAGTCTTTGAAGTCTGGAATGTATTTTGTATTCATAGCACACCTCAATTTGGACTAGTCCCTTTTCAACTTTTTAATAGCTGCATGTGGCTCATGAGCACAGTGCAGGTGCAGAGCTCCCCACAGTCTGGTTAGGAAGAGTTTACATGGGAAAGAAAGCAGACTATTGAGCATGGCTGGAATGTTACAGTGGTACAGCTGAGATAGCAGGGAGTACTACTATGCAGAGCCAGCTAACACAATTCCTAGTTTATTTACAGCCCAGTCACTAGAAATAACCTCACAGATGTTTAAGAATAATCTCTACACTAAGACTGACCTGACTCCTTTTCCTTGTAGATGTTAGTGGTATCTTTTTGGTTTATGGCCTTTTTTGTTACTACAGATCCTACAATTTCCATACCTTTAAAGTTATTTGCTTTTCTTCTTTCCTTTCCTGTTTTTACTTCTATTAAAAATATATATGGTTTGATAAAAATAGTAAACATTATTTAGCCCTTGTCTTGCTTGTGTTCATGTCCTGCTGTGCAGAAAAGAGTTAAAATGTCAGACTGCTATCCTTGGAGAGGCTGGTTTGCAAGGCCAACCCTTGTTTAGCATGTGGGAACTTAGATAGGTGTGGCTCTCTGCCTGAACTGTGAAAACAATGTGGTTTCTTCTCGACACCTGATTTATGGACTCAGGGAGTGTGGAATTTTTGTATGTGTGTCAGACAGAGGCTGCCTACATGACTGAACCCTGATAAAAATCCTGAACTCCCAGGGACAGGCCCACTTCCCTGGTAGACACCATTTCACATGTGTTGTCACAACTTCCTCCTAGGGGAACTGAGTGTGTCCTGTGTGACTCCCTTGGGAAAGGCCCCTTGGAAGCTTGTGCCTGGTTTTCTCCAGACTGTGCTCCATGCACCCTTTTCCTTTGCCGATTTTGTTTTGTATCTTCTCACTGTAATAAATCTTAGCTCTGAGTATGATTATATGCTGTGTCCTGTTAGTCCTCCTAGTGAATCAAACAAACCTGGGGAGGTGAAGGTCTTGGGGACTTCTGACACACCTATCTGAGTGGCACAACTCTCAATGGCACTTTAGAGGTATAGTTGACCCTGTCCTTGGAACAACATGGGGGTTAGGGGCGCTGACCCCATGTAGTGAAAAATTGTGTATAACTTTTGACAACCCCAAAACTTAACTACCGTCGGTATCCACGGGGGGTTGGTTCCAAACCTGCCATGATACCAAAATCTACAAATGCTCAATTCCCCTACATAAAATGGCATAGATCATGCATACAGTCACATTCCACATCTTCAGTCTTCCAACCACAGATTAAAAACAGTACAGGTATTTACTGAAAAAATCTATCTATAAGAGGACCTGTGCAGTTTAAAACCATCTTGTTCAGGTGTCAACTGTATTTGTATTCTCACTGAAGACCTTGGAGGCAATAAACAACAATAACAGCAGTGATAGTTAACATCTAATGAGGATGCTACTATATGCCAGGTACTGTCTTCAGATTTTATTATCTAATTGATTTCATTTTTACAAAAGTAGTCCCTTTGAGATAGGTAGTATTATTACCTCATCTGCAGAGGAGGAAACTAAGGCTCAGTGAGGTTAAATGGCATGGCCAGTGTTGGAGCCAGATCCCAGCCCAACTATTTGGCTCCAGGGGCCATGTCCTTGTTTGGCTCTTCTATAGAATGAAGAGCTTTGTTAGCTTTAGGAAAATCACTGAGCCTTCTGACATGAGCTCAGTGCTCTTTGCCCTCCCCAGCTAGGTTACCCTCCCTGGTGTGGGTTCTTCTGTCCCCTCTATACCTCTATTTTGTACTACTTCTCAGGGCTTGAAAATATATGTTGATTTCTGTGATTATATAATTAACGTCTACTTCCTCCAGTCAGTTTAAAGTTCTATGAAGTCAGGGCCGGGCAGTTTTACTGTTGCTGTCCTTGGTGCCTACCATGACACCTGGCACAGTGGATGCTAAATGTTTATTGAGTGACAGTGCCACACATGGAGCACAGGTCAAGGCTGGGCCTGAATGGTGCAGCATATGCTACTTGGGGGAGATGAATGGAGTGTAGAAGGAGAGGAGGGCTGGGGGAGTCAGTGAATGATTCACAGAGGAATGGATATTTGACTGGATTTTGAAGGATGTATAGGAGTTTTCCATGTAATGAAAGTTGATATGCAATGAGGTGAGGTAGGCATACTGGGCTGAAGGAATAATATGAGTGGAGGCACAGAAGTGTAAAAGGTTTGGGGAGATTACTCTTCCAGGGTCTTGTTCATTGCTTTCCTTTGGTCTCTTGTGACCTATGGTACCTGCTCATATGTACTTGAAGGTCTCCAGATGGATTTGGGTACTCTGAAAATCTTGGCTCTAAGAACACCATTTAAATCCTTTCCAGTACACACCTGCACAATAGTTTAGGGAGTGTACTAAAGAAACAGGACTCTTAGCTGTCAGTGTGCCCAATGCAGAGATCAGATGGAGGAAACAGAGGCAAAGCAAGAGGCCAAGGTCATGGAAGAGCTCCCAAGCCAGGAAGCTGGGCTTCAAGTCACAGCCTGAATGCCTGGAGTAGCTTCTCTCTTGGCTTCTCTCACCTTCCTGCCCAGCTGGAAGTGATGGCAGTAAGGGCTGGGATGGAGCACACAAAGGAGGGATTGAGGGAACCTTCCTTGCTTTTGGGGAGCTCCCAAGGCAGCCAGAGAGATGGCATGTGCATATATTTGTATACAGGGATGGATAGAATTGTTCTTGGGTCATTTCTGGAAGTCACATGAGGAAGCCATGTTTAGATGGAATTGTGGCCTCACACAGAGGGTTACTCAACTATTTTGGCTCACCCTAGGTGCCCAAATCTTGATTTTTCTCTCTCCCCACCCCTCTCAACACTAACATGATTTCATAGAGCTAGGAGCTGAGGACCAGCAGCTCTTTGATGTTTTCTTTCCCTGCAGGTGTTACCAGAGCCTGTGCCCAAATGGAGAAATGTCCGTGGCCATAATCCTCTGGTGAGTGTGTTGTTTCCTGTGTGAACCACCAGCTTCCTCTTGAGTGCTTTGGGATGGTGGTGCTGGTTCCTGAGCCTGCCCCCTGCCCAGGCATCTTCCTCACTCTTAGCTGGGTTGGAGGAGGAGATGGAGGAGACAAATGGAAAATGGCAGCATGTTGGTGTTCTGAGTACAAGGATCTTGGAGGCTTGGCTGGGCATGTGCAGGGTCCAGGAACCTCCTGTCAGTGATCCCAGACTATCTCAAGTGGTCAGCCTTGGCTACTGGGGGTGTCTGTCTCCTGCTGCTCATTCTACCCCCACCTTCTCCTAGATGAAACCCATTAGAACCCAGGTCTCCTCAGGCATAGTCCCCCAGGACCTATTATCTCTAAGTAACCAGTTTCCTTGGTAAACCTCTTATTTGGATTTGCATTTGGCAATGTCCAGGGGTTGCCTCTGGCTTGCCATGAAGCTACCTGTCTGCTTTCCCAAAGGTGGACCTAGCAAGCAGGGGCTGTGGTGTTCTTATGCCCCTTGCACTCCTCCTCCATTCAGAAGGCTCTGCTCTGGCTGCTTGAAAGAGAAGGGTGGAATCTTGGTCCTGTAAGGGGGAGATTAAGAAAGGGCTGCTGGTCTGTGAACCTATCCCATGATGTAGGGATGACTAGTTTAATTTTTCAGGAGAAGAAACTACAGCTGAAATAAGTTGCCCAAGGTCACGCGCTGGTAAATGATAGATCTAGATTTGAACCTTGGACTGTGGGGAGCCTCTGCTGTCCTCTCATTTCTAGCAACACAGCTGGGATCTTCTTGTGTGGTTCCTTAGACTCTTGAGTTCCACTAGGAGCAGGGACCATGTCTAATTTGGTTCACTCTTGGTTGCTAGAATGTAGCACACTGCCAAGCACCTAGTAGGTGCTTCTTCAGTCATTCAATGAATAATTGTTGCTGCTCCTGCTCTCCTGGCCCTAATATTCCAGTGTGGGGAGGCAGAAGACAATTAAGTATATGATATGGTGGCTAGTGATTGGAGCTATGAAGAAATCTAAAGCAGGTAAAAGGATGTTATTTAAATAAGGCAGAAATTCTTAGAACCTTTGAATAAATAATCCCAGACTTGTCACCTCTATTCATGTGGGAGATGATGGAATGTCAGTCTTTTCTTTGGGCATAACAGAAAAACCTCAGAAACAGTCTCTTTCTAGGAAACAGGGAGGAGCGAGGGTTGGATTACGACAACTAGAGTTGCAGACTTTAGGGATTAGAGGTGACATTTCACAGGGCACAGTCTCAGTCTTAGAAATCTGAGTCTCCTTGGTACAAAGAGCATTTCCAATTACAGTTTTATAATAAAAAATGTAATAGAATTAGATATTTTTACACAAGTTTCCACTCTGGACAGAAGACCAAGATTGGTAATTTTGTGAAAAGTTTCAATCCATCACTATCTGAATTATCTGTCTGATGCAGAAAGGTGTTTGTTTCTGCAGCCATCTGACGCAGGGAGTGTTTTTCCCAACCTTTTGAGATTTTCTTTTACATGCAGTTAGGAGCCTGCAGTTTTTAGTGCAGAGATGGAGTTTCACTAGTTAGCACCAAGAAAAAACAAAAGTGGAAGAGAGCAGAGTAAGACTATTAGCAAGTGGAATATGGAGCATGAAGTGTTTTGTATTTATAGGCAGATGGGAAGTCACTGGAAGGTTTTGAGCAGGGGAGTGACAAGAACTGATTTAGGTGTGATGGGGTGAGCAATGTACACATCTGGAGGAAGAGCATAGCAGATGCAAAGGCCCTGATGTGGGATCATGCTCAGGTATTTGGGGGACACTAAGAAGACTTGTGTGGTTGGAAGTTCACTGAGCCAGAGGAAAAATGGTAGGACATGAGAGAAGATGGAAGTGTGGGCCTTGGTAAGGGCTTTGAATTTCATTCTGAATGCAGTGGGAAGTCAATGGAAGGTTCTGAACAGGAGAGTGACAAGAACTGATTCAGGGTTCACAGGCTCATTTTGGCGGCTGGATAGAGAATAGACTCCAGGGGCTCAATGAACATGTATTGAATGACTGAATGAATGTTCCCTGGGGACTTGACATAGGCTCCTATTACTGCTGTTCCTGGACTGTCCTGTAAGTGCTCCACTGTCTGTTTCTGTTCACTGTGGTCTGAGGGTCCTGTGACCATGTTGAGTTTATGTCTGGCCCCAGTTCAGCCATGTAGGTTTTATGAGATAGCTATCAGTGACCAAAATGACCAGAGTTTTATAGATAGAGCACTTTGAGGTAAGTTGTTGCATTTTCCCTTTTACAGGGTCTGATGTACCGTGATGCCTGTCGTTGGGGCCTCACACTGCAGACGTACGTGCAACTTACCATGCTGGACCAGCACACTCGTCCTCAGGTACCTTTAAGATGCGTGGTTTCAGCTTTTGTGACATTTCCTTCAAGTGGGGGATGTATGATTGCCAGGAAGGGAACCCTCACAAGGAGGCCTTGCTGGGCCTTCAGTGCTGCTCAGTCTTCTCTGTCTTGGGCCAAGGTCTCTTTTTCTGTAGCTCTCTAAGGATCCCTACCCACCAGCCTCAGCTAGTCGAGAAGTTTCTATGATACCACTGTGAGCCTGAGTCTTCATGACCTGACCAGGACTGGGCTCAACACCATTTAACCCAGCTCTTCTCAAAGTGTGGTCCCTGGTCCAGGAGCAGCAGCAGCATCTGGGGACTTGTTAGAAATGCACATTTTCTGGCCCCATCCTGGAGTTGCTGAATCAGAAATTCTGGAGATGAGGCCTAGCAATCTGTGTTTTTTCAAGCTCTCCATGCATGCTTTGTTTGTTTGCATATTTGAAAATCACTCTCTCACCTCCACAGGGTCTGGCTCTTGGTTTATATTCTTGAAAGAAACAATCTGATTGGCTCAGCTTGGGTCAGGTGTTCAGCCCTGGGCCAGTTAGGTATTAGGAAGATCATGGAGCAAAAACAGGCTGCTTGGGCCCCTTCCTTCATCGGGGATGTGACTAGGGGAAGTCTCCTGGAAGAAAGAGATCCTGATTGATACCTGTGATTCAAAGCCACAAGTACAACCTAAGAGTTATGTTGACACAGCTACTTGGCTGGGTGGTTTTATCAAGGGTGAGGCACTTGCAGCTATAGCTATCATTCTTCTACAAATCTGTCTTAACAATGGAAAAATATGAGCAAAGACATATGAATTTCTATCCCGCTAAATGTCTGTCTAAATGATATAGGTTAGAGGATCTGAGGTTGGCACTTTTTCCCTTTGCTCACCTGACTTTTCCTAAGCGGGCAGTCACTTGCAAACCTGAAGTGTATCTATTATATCTGAATAGAATGGGCCATACCATGAAGGAGGCAGAGAGAGAAATACAGGTGGATAGACTTGGAAAGATGAATAGAGAGATCAATGGATGTGGGAGGGGGCTAGCAAAAGATAGGCAGTGGAGAGTGATAAGTAAGGAGAGGAATAGAAGGGAAGACAGATAGACAGATAGATGCACAGGGAGAGTCAGGAAATTACTGGGTTATGTTTTTGAATCTGACTCTGATTTGCTGGTTCAGGTCCTATGGGTGCTGTGGGTGCATGGGTGCCATGCTAAGTGAGAGCAGTGTTTGCTCACTTGGTGTCAAGGGTAAGGGCCCCTCCTGCTTCCCAGTGGGACACTGTGGACATAGGGAAAGGTCACCTGTGGAGGGTGTGAGCACCCTGCCACAGAGGGGTGATGCCAGTGTCATCCTCCTGCCTCTTGGGCACAGTCCTTCACAGTTTCCACAGGGCTGCAGTGATTTCCAAACAGCCCTATGAGAAAGCGGCAAAATCAGCAGGTTTTGCAACCTTGTGGGGTTCCAGAAAGCCAGACCCTGAGACACTGATGACATAATCCCCATAATATCACCTGAATCCGAGCCCTCTCTGGGCTCTACCTTAGGCATTCAGATCCCTCTGCTTAAGCAAAGGCACCCTGTTTAGGTCCGTAGTAATCACCATACTTTGCACTTGACACTGGTTTGCTGGATAGCAGTTGGCAGTTTTTCTAGCACTTCCCCAAACCCACAATCAGGTGAGGCTGGCTTACCGCTCCAGTGAAAGAGGCTGCTGCTGCTGAGCCCTCAGCCCCAGCATTGCTGCAACTGGCCACTGAACTCCCGGATGTGGGGAGGTCCCAGGCTGAGAGGGGAACACACCTGAGCTTCATGTCAGCTTCTTGATTTTTTAAAAAAATTTTTCATTAATTTATTTTGGTTACAGATATTTCTCCTTTTCCCCTCATTGACACCCTCCTCTCACTCCCACTCCCTCCCTGTCCCCAGCATTGTTGTCTATGTCCATGGTTATGCAGACATGCATATAAGATCTGTGGTTTATCTCTTCCCTTTCCTCCAACCCGCTCTTCTGAGGTTTGTCAGTCTGTACTCTACTTCTTTGTCTCTGGGTCTATTTTATTCATCAGCTTGTTTTGTACATTATATTCCACAAATAAGTGAGATCATGTGATATTTGGCTTGTTTCACTTAGTATAATACCTTCCAGGTCCCTTCATGTCGTCTCCAAGGACAAGAGATCTTTCTTTTTTACAGCTGCATAGTATTCCATTGTATATATGTACCACAGCTTTTTTATCCATTCATCTATTGATGGACACTTGGGCTGTTTCCAGATATTAGTGATTGTAAATAGGGCTGCTATGAACATAGGGGTACATATATTCTTTCTGATTGGTGTTTCAGCTTCTTAGGGTGTATCCCTAGAAGTGGGATCACTGGGTCAAATGGCATTTCAATTTTTAACTTTTTGAGGTAACACCATATTGTTTTCCATAGTGGCTGCACCAGTCTGCATTCCTACCAGCAGTGTACTAGAGTCCTCTTTTCTCCACACCCTCGCCAGCACTTGTTGTTTGATGATTTGTTGATGGCAGTTATTTTGACAGGTATGAGGTGATACCTCATTGTTGTTTTAATTTGCATCTCTCCAAAGATTAGTGATGTTGAGCATTTTTTTATATGTCTCTTGGCCATTTGTATGTCCTGTTTGGAGAGGTGTCTATTTAGGTCCTCTGTCCACATTTAATTGGATTGTGTGTCTTCCTTTTGTTGAGTTGTATGAGTACTCTCTCTCTCTCTCTATTTTTATCTTTATTGTTGAATGTACAGATGTTTTTTATTTTTCCCCCATTGACCCCTCCTCCCCATCCCACCCCCTCCCACCTTTTCCCACACTATTGTCTGTGTCCACTGGTTATGCATATAAGTTCTTTGGTTTATTTCTTCCCACCCCCCAACCCCCTTCCCTTTCAGGTTTGTCAGTCTAGCAATGAATTTGTACTTCTTAATCCCTTCACCTTTTTCACCCATTCCCCAACCCCCCTCCCATCTGGCAACCAACAAAATGTTCTCTGTATCTATGAGAATGTTTCTGTTCTGTTTATTTTGTTTGTAGATTCAATTGTCGATAGATATGTATTCATTGTCATTTTGTTTGTTCATATATTTTATCTTTTTCTTCTAAAAGACCCTTTATCATTTCATATAATAATGGTTTGGTGGTGATGAACTCTTTAACATTTTCTTGTCTGTGAAACTCTTTATATGGCCATCATTATAAATGACAGCTTTGCAGGATAGAGTAATCTTGGTTGTAGGTTCTTGCTTTTCATCACTCTGAATATTTCTTGCCACTCCCTTCTGGCCTGCAAAGTTTCTTTTGCGAAATCAGCTGACAGTCTAATGGGAATGCCCTTGTAGGTAACTAACTGCTTTTCTCTTGCTGCTTTTAAGATTCTCTCTTTGTCTTGAACTTTTTGCATTTTGATGATGATGTATCTTGGTGTGGGCCTCTTGGGGTTCATCTTGTTTGGGACTCTCTTTTCTTCCTGGACTTGTATGTCTGTTTCCTTCATTAAGTTAGGGAATTTTTTTGCCATTATTGTTTCAAATAGGTTTTTCGATTTCTTGTTCTCTTTCTTCTCCTTCTGGCACTCTCAAGATGCGAATGTTGGCACGCTTGAAGTTGTTCCAGAGGCACCTTACACTATCCTCATTGTTTTGGAATTTTTTTTTTTTGCTGTTCTGCTTGGGTGTTTTTTGCTTCCTTACATTCCAAATCGATGGTTTGCTTCTTGGCTTTACCTACTCTACTATTGAATCTGTGTAAATTATTCTTTTTTAATTTAATTCAATTATTATTATTATTATTATTATTTTATCCTCACCCGAGGACATTTTTCTGCATTTATCTTCAGAAAGAGTGGGAGGGAGAGAAAGAAGGAGAGAGAGAGAGAGAAACATTGATATGAGAGAGACACGTCAAGTGGCTGCCACCCACACGACCCCAAACGGGGCCAGGGACAAACTGCAACTGAGGTACGTGCCCCTAGCAGGAACTGAACCTGGGACTCTGGTCTGTGGACCGATGCTCCAACCGTTGAACCAAACCGGCCAAAGCGTAAATTATTCTTTATTTCAATTAGTGCCTCCTTCATTTCTGACTGTGCATTCTTCATTCCTGACTCGTCCTTTTTTATGCTCTTGAGGCCCTAAGTTCATTGAGGTTCTCACTAAGTTCATTGAGCATCCTTATAAGCAGTATTTTGAACTCAGCATCTGTTAGGTTGCTTATCTCCATTTTGCTTAGCTTTTCCTGGGGTTTTGTTCTGTTCTTTCATTTGGGACCTGTTTCTTTGTCTCCTCTTTTTGGCTGCCTTTCTGAGTTTGTTTCTATGTATTACTTAATGAAAGGTATGGGGCTAGGTGAGACCAGATGCTGCTTGTTTGAAAGAATTTAAGAAAACCTCAAGCAGGATCCAAGACAGGCCAATCCTATGATAAAGTAGCTGGCAACAGCTTGGGTGGGCCTGAAAGTTTGGTGGGGAGGGGCCTCAGGGAATCACCAGGGCGGGGCTACCAGTGTGAGCCAGGTTGCTGGAGTCCCAGATATGGCGGCTGTCTGCTGCCCTAGGGAAGAGCTCACCAAAGGAACAAAGGCCTCTGACAGCACGTCTGTCCAGGAGCAAGCTGCCTCTTGAGCTCTCGCTCCAGTGCCAAACAGCTCAGTTCTTCCCCTGTATGTCTCTGGTGCCTTTCAAGTTGCCTCCCCCATGCTGGAGACTGGGGGGTGCGAGTCTGAGTAAGTCTGTGCACAGGCCCTTTAAGAGGAGCTGCCTGGGGCTCCAGTTCCCTCAGCCTCCCTCTGCCTCAGTTCCTGCTGGTTTTTTAAGCCAGAAGTTATGGGGACTTCTCTTCCTGGCACTGGAACCCTGAGCTGGGTGCCTGGTGTGGGATGGGGACCAATCAGTACTCAGGGAGGACCTTCCCAGCTGAGGTGTTTCTCCTGAATTTTATCCACCACACATGGGTGTGGGACCAGTCAGTCTCGATGTGGCTGCTTCTTTAATTTTGTTGTTGTAGGACTTCCATTCAGCTTAATTTCAGTCGGTGTTGAATGATGGTTGTTCTGTAGTTTAGTTGTAACTTTGATGTGGTTGTGGGAGGACCTATTACCACGTTAGCCTACACTGCTATCTTGACTGGAAGTCCTGTTTCATTGATCTTTTGAAATGTTTATTTAGTTTCTATGTCATTTATTTCTGCTCTGACCTTTACTATTTCTTTCATTCTACTTGCTCTGGGTTTTTCTTTTTGTTTACTTTCTAGTTTTTTAAGATGTAGGGTTAGAAAGTCAATTAGGAATTTTTTTTTGTTTTCTGAGGTAGGCCTGTAGTGCTGTGAATTTCTTTCTCAGGACTGTGTTTGCTGCATCCTATAGATTTTGTATTGTTTTGTGTTTGTTTTTAATTGGTTTCCAGGAAGTTTTTAACTTCTTCCTTAATCTTTTTGGTAACCCATTTTTTGCTTAATAACATGCTATTTAGCCTATATGTGTTTGAATGTTTTTGTGTGTTTTTATTGTAATTGATATCTAGTTTCATGCCATTGTGATCTGAAAAGATGCTTGATATGATTTCAGTCTTCTTGAATTTGTAGAGACTTACTTTGTATCCTAACATGTGGCCTATCTTTGATAATGTTCTGTGTGCACTTGAGAAGAATGTATATTCTGCAGCTTTGGGGTGAAATGTTCTGTAAATATCAATTAAGTCCAACTGATCTATTTCGTCATATAAGGACTGTGTCCTTGTTAATTTTTTGTCTAGAAGATCTCTCCAATTGTGTCAGTGGGGTGTTAAAGTCACCCACTATGATTGTATTGCTGTTGATTTCTCCCTTGAAGTCCTCCAGAAGTTTTTAAATATATTTTGGTGCTCCTGTATTTGGTGCAAATATGTTTACCAGGATTATATCCTCTTGTTGGATTGGTCCCTTTAATATTATGTAGTGACCTTCTTGGTCTCTTATTATGTATCTTATTAGATATGAGTATTGCTACACCAGTTCCATTTGCTTGGAAAACTTTTTTCCATTTGCTTGGAAAACTTTTTTCCATCCCTTCACTTTCATTCTGTGTGAGTCTTTTGTTGTGAGGTGGGTTTCTTGTAGACAGCATATATATGGGTCGTGTTTTCTTATGCAATCAGCTACCCTGTGTCCTTTGATTGGAGCATTTAAGCCATTTACATTTAAGGTTATTATTGATAGATGCTTATTAGTTGCCATTTTTATTTTATGCCTGTGTTCCTATTTCTTTCTGTTTCTTCTCCTTCTTACAACAGTCCCTTTAGCATTTCTTGCAGTGCTGGTTTGGTGGTGATAAATTCCTTCAGCTTTTTTTTTTTTTGTCTGAGAAGCTCTTTATTTCGCCTTCAATTTTGAATGATAGCCTTGCTGGATAGAGTAGTCTTGGATTCAGTCCCTTGTCTTTCATTACTTTGTATACTTTATGCCAATACCTTCTGGCATGCAGTGTTTTTATTGAGAAATCAGCTGACAGTCTAATGGGGGCTCCCTTGTAGGTAACTTTCTCTCTCTTGCTTTTTTTTAAGATTCTTTTTTGGTCTTTAATGTTTGCCATTTTAATTATGATGTGTCTAGCTGTGGGTCTTTTTGGGGTCATCTTGCTTGGGACTCTGTGTTTCCTGGACTTGTGTGACTTTTTCCTTCACCAATTTAGGGAAGTTTTCTGTCATTATTTTTTCAAACAGGTTCTGTATTCCTTTCTCCAGTTCTTCTCCTTCCGGTACCCCTATGATGTGAATATTGTTACGTTTTGTGTTGTCTCAGAGCTTCCCTAAACTCTCCTCCTGCTTTTTGATTTTTTTCCCATTTGCTGCTCTATTTGGGTGTTTTTTTTTCCTATCTTGTCTTCTAACTTGCTGATTCAGTCTTCAGCTTCTTCTAATGTACTATTGAATCCTTCTCAGGTATTTTTTCATAACAGCTATGTCATTCTTTATTTCCTCTTGATTTTTATTCATAGCTTCTATCTCTTTTTTAAAACTGATGTAGTTTCCACTGAAGTTTTCATAATTCTTATTAAGTTGCTTGTAGTTCTCACTAAATTGTTTGAGCACCCTTAAAATTATTGCTTTGAATTCTTTATCTGACAAATTTCTTTTTTCATGTAGTTCCTTTTCTGATGATTCCTCCTTTTCGTTCATTTGGATGTTGTTTCTTTGTCTCACCATTTTAGCAATCTGGTAGCTCTAGGCCTGGTGAGGGATGTTGGAATGTGTAGGCAGGTTGGTGTGTATCAAATAAGGCTACTGTGCTTCCCAGACTATTTTGGTGTGCGGCGTCTCTTGCCTGCTGTGGGCCCTGGAGGATTAACAACTGGCGGCTGGTATTGGTGTGTCATGTTAGGTGCTCTTGGGGTATGTGGGTTCTGCTGATGGGCTGCTTAGGTGCGTGGGTCCCACTGGTACACTGTTGGGGTGTGTGGGTCCCGCTGATGTGCTGCTGCAGTGTGTGGGTCCTGCTGGTACACTGCTGAGGTGCATGGGTTTCGCTGGTACTTTGCTGAGGTGCTTGGGTCCCGCTGGTGCGCTGCTGGGGTTTGTGGGTCATACCCATGTGCTGCTATGGGGTGCTGCTGCCTGGTGGGGCTTAGCTCCTGATCAGTTAACGCTGGGGGTGAGTGTCAGTTCCCAGTTTGCATTGCTACTGCTGCTGCTGTTGCTAGGGGGTGCTCTCAGCTCCCAATCCTCTGCTGCTGTTAGGGGCTGAGGATACTCAGCTCCTGGGACTTTGCTGCTGCTGGGAGAGGGGCTCCACTCCAAAGTGGACCTGCTGCAGTTGTTAGGGGCAGGTCTTGGCTGCGTGAGTCTTGCTGCTGTTTGGGCTGGGGCACCGCTCCTGATTAGCCTCTGCTGATACTGCTGGTGATGGGTCTCAGCTGTTGATTTGTGCTGCCTGGGAATGGATGTCCGCTCCAGGGCCTCTGCTGCTGGGAGTATGTCTCAGCTCCTGAGCCTCAGCTGCTGTTGGGGGTGGGGCTCCACTTCTACCCAGTCACTGCTGCTGTGGGGGAAGGTGCTGGGCTCCAATGAAGCTTCTGCTGTGGGGGATGATGCTTGGCTCCCAGCTGGTTGCAGCTACTATAGCAGGCACCTCAATAGCGCCACTACTGTGTGCTGGCCTGAGTTGACACAGTGGGCTCCACTGGTCCGACGGTGCAAGCCACTCTGGTGGACTCAGGTCACTTGGCCTATCCGCCTGCTCCCAGAGAAGACCTTACAAAATGGCGGGCCCCCACCCCCAGCTGCACAGGGAGAAGCACCCTGACAAGCTGCTTACCATAGTAGCCAGCTGCTCCCCATCCACAGCACAGGAACCCTATGCCCCGCATTTCTGCACTGCTCAAGGTTGATTGTCCACACCCACATCCACTCATACTCTCTCACACTCACTCACACTCTTATACACTCACCCTCGCTCTGGTTATGCCCGCCACCACTTTCCTCCTCCTTGATTCTTGTATTCAGTATAAACCATAGTTAGGGGGAACACAGGCATTCTTTAAGCCTTCCTGACCCCCTCTTTGATTGAGTTAGTGAATCACTTTTTGTTTTCTTTTAGATGTCACCTGTACGGTTGATGGAGCGGTCGATTCACAGTGCAAGATACATTTTTGTAGAAAACTTGTATAGAAGGTACCATCGTTTGCACAATTGATATTTTTATTAATTTGTTAAAAATGGAATTGGAACATCTTTATTCAAATGACAGATACTGAGTACCTGCTATGTTGTATCAGTTATCTATTGCCACAGTAATGCGATGTAACAAACCACCACAGAATCTCAGCGGCAGACAGCTCTCTGCACTGATTGCTCAGTCATGTAGGTTGGTCGGCCAGGTGGCTCTGCTGACCTTGGCTGGGTTCCATGAAATATCTTGGGGTTGGCTGCTCTAGGATGGCCCTGGGAAGGGTGATGGGGTGAGTCATCTCTCTCTCTTGCCTCTCTATCATCCTCCTTCTGGGACCAGCAAGCTAGCCTGGGCATTCACTCCTCATGGTGATGGCAGAAGGCAGCAGCACCCGTGGAAATGTATTATTGCTTTTTCAGGCCTTGGCTTCACATTTGTTAACATTCCATTGGCCAGAGTTGGTCACACAACTGACCCAATTTGAGAGGTGTCCCTTGTGGGTTACATGGCAAAGTGGGAGGATATAGGGAGGTGAAGATCTGGAGCGAATAGACAAATCAGTCTAGCACAGTGTACATGATATTTGTTGTGGTTTTCACTCAAAACTGTCTTTTGCCCTCATGGGAGTAGACTGTGTCATATTGACAATGTTGGAGGGGACTTCTGGTGGCCCACAGTGCTGAGGCCTCAAAGGCATGGGGCCCTCCATTCTTGTGGTCAGTTGACTGCTATTTTCTAGGGTCTTGGAGAAATGGGCTGCAGGCTGGGGTCTAAAGCTTTAGTTTCTTCTATGCCATTCTTTTCTTAGCAGCTGTGTGCCTTGTCCCCTTTTCCTTGCCAGCCCCCCATATTATTGCTTTTACCTCCTTTGAGCCTTGGGGTACTACTGTCACTCCCTTGCAGAGCTGGTCCTGATACCTGCCTTCTACTCTCTACTTACTTACTCCCCATTCCTTCTCATTTACAGCTGTCATCCTAAATGTCACCTCTCCTGACCCTCCCCAACCACATTGTCTAGATAGCTCAAGCCCCTTGTTATTCTTAATTATTACTGTCTTTTAGTTTTCTTTGTGGTATTTAAGAGAACCTCTAATTAGGTTGATCATATGAAATTTGTAATACTTGACTGATTTTGACCTGCAAAAGGGCAGTTTCATGTGGTTTAACTTAGTATGTGTCTATTTGTTTAATTGTCTACTACATTGCATGTCTCCCTTGCCCTACTGGCTCATAAACCCCCTGAGGACAGGGACCATGTCTGGTTTACTCACTTAGCTGGGACCCAGCACCAAGCTGGCACCTGGTTGATACTCATTAAGTATCATCTTGTTGGGTGATGAAACCTGTGGCTGTTCTTTAGACTCCAGCCCTACTTGCTCCCCAGGTTCTGGACCAAACTCTTTCACACCTTTTCTTTTATTTATTTATTTTTTTATAATTTATTTATTTTTTATTAATTAATTTTTGTTACAGATGTTTCTCCTTTTTCCTCCACTGATTCCCCCCTCCTCCTCCCTCCCTGCCCTGTCCCCAGTTTGTTGTCCATGTCTACTGTTCATGCATACATGCATATAAGTTCTGTGGTTTATCTCTCCCCCACCACCCCCTCTTCTGGGGATTGTCAGTCTGTACCCCAATTCCACGTCTCTGGGACTACCCCATTCCTCAGACTGTTATGTTCATTATATTCCACAGATAAGTGAGATCGTATGATACTTGTCTTTCTCTGTTTGGCTTGTTTCACTTAGGATGATATTTTCTAGGTCCCTCCATGTAGTCTCAAAGGATAAGAGATCTTTCTTTCTTACTGCTGCATAGTACTCCATTGTGTATATGTACCACAGCTTTTTTATCCATTCGTCTACTGATGGACACTTGGGCTGTTTCCAGATCTTAGCTATTGTAAAATAGTGCTGCTACAAACATGGGGGTACATATATTCTTTCTGATTGGTGTTTCAGGCTTCTTAGGGTATATTCCTAGAAGTGGGATCACTGGGTCAAATGGAAGTTCAATTTTTAACTTTCTGAGGTAGCACCATATTGTTTTCCATAGTGGCTGCACCAGTCTGCATTCCCACCAGCAGTGTAGTAGAGTCCCCTTTTCTCCACACCCTCACCAACACTTGTTGTTTGATGATTTGTTGATGGCGGCCATTCTGACAGGTGTGAGGTGATACCTCATTGTTTTAATTTGTATCTCTCTGATGATTAGTGATGATGAGCATTTCTTCATATGTCTCTTAGCCATTTGTATGTTCTGTTTGGAGAGGTGTCTATTTAGTTTTTTTGCCCATTTTTAAATTAGGTTCTTTGTCTTCCTTTTGTGGAGTTGTATGAGCACTCTCTATATATTGGAAATTAACCCCTTATCTGATATATCATTGGCAATTATGCTCTCCCATACAGTGGGTAGCCTTTCCGTTTTGATGATTGTATCTTTCGCTGTGCAGAAGCTTTTGAGTTTGATGTAGTCCCATGTCACCTTTTCTTTTAATGGAACCACAGAAAGGCTTCTCCCTTGGGTCCTGAGCTGCCACGGATCATGCGCTTGAGCCTGTGTGGCCCTAGGACAAGAGCCCCGTCCCCTCCACCCGGGCCTTAGACCCATGCTCCGGGATCAGGGACAGCCATCAGGGCAAGTCTTGACTAGCTTTGTTCTCTGACCTCAGAATTCTCTTGTGGGCTCTGCCCTTCCAACAGGTAGTTCCTGTTGACAGAGTCCCATCCTCCCCCAGCTGCCTGGGTTTCCAGTGAGGCTGAGCTGTTTGTCTACTGCTCTGTTTCCACGATGCTTGCTCTTCTCTGCTCCCTGCTCATCAGTGCCTCTGCTAGAGTGGGGACAGGCGGAAGAGAGAAGAGAGCAAAGGAGTCCTTTGGTGTTTGTTTACTGCTTGATGACATTGTGGCCCGAGGAGCAGACCCTGGACACAGTTGGGAGTCCTTTTTACCCTCATTGTAGCTGGGCTGTCTCTGTCCTCTAGTCCCAGTCAGTTTGGCAGCTCTTGGCTCTTTTTGAAGAGGATGATCTGTAATGACCAGAGGTCAAGGGGAGAGAGTGGGGCGTGGACCTGGGTTTCATCCTGGCTCTGGAGTTTACTATTTTTGTGAGCACAGCCATATCTCACTAAGAGCCCTTCTTGTCTCTGATTCCTATTGTCTGTCTCTGGAGGAGAGCCTTTGGAACAGTTGCCAGGTTTAGGGCCTGTGGTCCTTAGGCAGGTCCTTGATCTTCATGAAATTTTCCAGTTAAATCCCCCAACCACATAGGTTTCCTAATGCCTGGTGAATTTCCCCAGGAGCCCCCTTGTCTTTGCCTGTCCCTGGGACAGTTTTAGCTGATGTCCGTGGGCTTTGGTTACTCACACCCATAGTCCTCGCTTCTAATGATGGTCCTGTACTTTCTGATCTAAGTGGCTGTGGTCCAGGTCACTGGTCCAGTTCACATGGACCTTGCCCTTGGCCATTTTGTGGGTAATGTAGGAAAAGGCTGTAGCTTTTTATTTTTTGAGCTGTTTTCCTGCCCTGATAATTTCATACGCATTTATTCCTCCCCCTGGCCCTCCTAGAAAGCCTGGCATCGGTGATTAGATTTTCATGGACAAAGAACAATGGAAAAACTGCCCAGTGTCCTTGTTTCTGTTTCTGTTATCTAATGCTTTTAAGTTCTTACAATCCTCAGAAGGCAAGACCCAGTTCTGGTATCACTTGATGGAGCCAGAGGCTATTGGTTGGCATGTGGGCTCGGGTGCTCGAGTGGCTGCTGGGAGCACCATGCACCCTGGTGGGCCAGGCCACCTACCACTTTGGTTTCAGGAAGATGGGAGAAGGTTTTGTTCCTCTAACCCTTTTACTGCAATCTTCCAAGGGCAGAGAAAAGATCACATAGGCTGCTGACTCCCGACTTGTCCTCTCAGCCACTATGGCCCGAAGCAGGCTGCTAACTGGAAATTTCTTTGACGTCTCCTCTTCTATGTTAGAAAGTCATTGGATTTTGCATTCTAGTTCATAACATGCTCCTCTGTTTGTATCTATAACAAACATCATGCTTAGCATGTGGCTTGGAGTGTCCTCTCGTTTAGCCATTTACTCCAGAGTCCCTAAGTTTGGGAGGCAGAGAACCAAGGAGAGGGGCACTGAGAAGCACCTAATCAGTGCAGGTGAGCCACTTGTGAACTGGACCAGCTGGTTTGTATTCCCTGGAAATTGGGGCATTTATTCAAGTGGTTGAGAGGCAGAGCAGGGACCTGTGGACAGGAGCTACATTATTGTCTGATTCTTTACGTATCTTTTTCTCTTTGAACCCTCCAGACAGCCCTGAGGTAGGTACTATTGACCCTGTTTGTCAGATTGGGAATTGAGATGGGATTGGAAAGCCAGTGCTCTTTCTGTATTGGGCAGGAACTTGGCTGGGGGAGTTTCCTGCACCTGCTATGTGGGCAGTGGTAATGAGGGAGTGGGGAGAGACATCTAGATTTCTCTCATTAATAAGCTAGAGGCGTCAGGCCCATTGGAGCCCCCAAAGTGTTGGGTCAGGGGAGGTAGGCCTCTGCCTCTTTCTACCCAGGCCTCACTGTCGACATCTCCCACAGATCACTGTACCTTAGGTTAATATGCAGGTGCTGCTTCGAGGATCCAGGGTGGGACCCAAGAGCCTGTATGTTTAACTCTGGGCAGCCACCACTCTGCTGGTTGGGGATCACACTTGGAGGGACAGGGCCTCAGAAGAAGCCAGTGCCCTTCCCTTTCCCTCTGGAGTTTTGAAACTGTGGCTTCCTTGGGGCATCCCCTGAGCCTTTGGGGTCCTGAAAGCAAGAGCCCAGCCCTGCAGGTTGTCTTTGGACAGGTAGTGAAAGTGGTTCATGGGCAGGATTTCCTCAGTTTACTACACTGCCTGCTCTTCATTTCACATTTGTTGCCTCAGGTTTTGGTTGGGGGTGGGGGGCTTGTTGTGTTATCTTTGTTTCAAGGGTCTGTGACTTTACTCCTAGGCCAGGATTGGGACAGCCATAGACCAAAGGTTTTCTTTTTGGAGGCAAAGTAAAAAGTTTTTTTACTAAAGAATTGACAAGCAGGAGAAGACTAGACTAGGGTTTTTTTTCATGCTCACCCTCCTTCCAACTCTAGCTTCTCTTGATGCAGTGGGTCATCCGCAGAGAAGCATGATTGTGAATGTAGATGTTTTGAGAGGTTTCTGCTCCCCCAAATACAGGTTGCTATTATTTTGATCCTAGTCTAAATGTAGCTTAGAACAGGGTTTGGCTGGATCTTTTGCCTGTACCTAGAAGAGGATGTTTTGGTTCCTACCTGTGGGGAGTTCGACCGGGTCCTGGGAGCCACAGATGGCATATATGGGATGTCAGCTCCTGCCTAGGAGCTTGTGTAGGGACAGCCCTATCACAAGGCAGGCTTCTGGCCCTTTGGCATTCGGGTTCATCCTTTTCTCTTTCTCAGAAGCTCATGCAACCTTGGCTGGGAATCTGGCGGGGGGTGGTGGGGGGCAGTTGGAGGAAGAGAGTACAACAGGCCTGGCTCTGCTGTCTGCAGTTGTAGGCTCAGGTGCCCAGAAAAGCCCACTTGTTGGAATTCTGCCTCCCTCAAAGCATTTCTTGAAGGGTAGTCTTAGCTTGTGAGTCTCAAACAAATAAGCAGTTCTAGGGAGAGGCTGCCTCTTCCAGTCCCCGATCCCAGCCAGTTAGGGGTGGGCAGAATATAAGTGCACGTAGGCCACCAGGGGTCTGAGAGGGTTGTGTGACTTCCTGAAGAGGAAGATTCTGGTACATTCTCCTAAAGACAGGAACTTCTGAGTTGTGGGCACTGTGCTGGAATAAGAAGCTAATGGTGGCGAGGAAGATGCACAGCTGAAGCGGCCACATAGGCAACTGTATGCCCCCAGCTCCGTGGGCTAGATAATTGTATGCAAAGGTTTTGCAAGATTGCCTGCTTGGCGTGTTCTAAGTGCAGAAGTGAGGAAATTGACTGGGCCCAGCTGGGAAAATAGCACCCTGACTCACCTGGGGCTGCCGGTCTGGAATATTGATTAAGACCCTGAGTTTGGAACAATTAGCAGGTCCTCCTATTTCCCTGACTGGCCCTGGGGCTTGGATTCTTCCCCTGCTGTAGTCCAGATGGAGTCTCATGGCCTGAGTCATGACCCTGAGAGCTGTGGCTTTTCTTGAGCTGAGGCCATGAGACACTGGACATGATCCAGAACAGCTTCCTCAGTTGACAGACCAGGGAAGGCGAGTGATGCAATGAAGAACCCGTGGGTTTGGGGGCCACGGAGAGCCGGGCTTGAATCCCAGCTCAGACGAAGTTGGGCTTCTCTGAGCCTCAGTTTTCCTCATCTTTGAATTGGGACTAAAATTGACCTCACATAGTCTTGTGAAAACACAAGAAGAAAATAATGTACGTATATGAGATGGCTGGCATTGGAGTGTGAGATTTCTCTTCTAACTTGTGCTGTGTCAACTGGCAGTTCTCTGGGATTCAGGGTGAAGGTGGCAGCAAACTGTGCCAAACAAAAATATCCAGCATGACTTTTGTGGACCCAAGACCTCAATTTTGCCACCCTGCTATCAGGGGAAAGCTTCATGAAAGCCCCTGAGTTTGCTGTTGGTGAGTTGGGCCTTTTGATCTTCAGTAGAGAGGCACTGACCTCTGTGTGTTCTATGGAAAGGAAAGCAGTGGCCTGTGGGAATGCTGGACGTGCCACTGTTGAGGAAGACACAGGAGGAGCCAGGCAGAGTTCCCAGGAGGAAAACCGCAAAAATAGGTAAAATGGCACCCACTGCCTGATATCCCTCAGAATCATGGAAACCAGCCTTCTGTCTCTGTACGCAGCTGAGCTTGGGTGCCCCCTGCACACAGCTTGGGCGCATCCTCTCTCCGTGTAGTCGATCTCACTAAACCCAGTTCTGAGTGGCTCCAGGATGAGTGGAACATGTTAAAGGGGGGAATTCCTTTCCTGGGCCTTTGAGGGTCACCCAGCTGTTGACGAGTTTGTTTCTTCCAGCCGCTGCCATTCCCTGTCTTTCCTGTTTATTTCCCCTCTGGGCAGAGCAAACCCACTGTAGTAGGTAAATGCCAGGTCTCTCTTCACTCTTGGCTCTTTCATCCTTCCCCCTTTCTTTTTTCCTTCCTTTCTTTTTCAGTTTACACTTTACATATGTAGCAGTCTGCTCCTGCTCACCTCCCCCACTCTTGATATGAGAACTAATATGTTGTTAAATTTTGGAAAATACAAAAAAGTATAAAGAAAAAAATGAAAGTCTCCCATAGTCTACAGGTCAGAGAGGAGCACTGTTAACATTTTGGTGTTTTTCTTTTCAGTCTTTTTACAAAATGTGTGGACTTAATACTCCTGAAAATGTGGTTAGGTCATATTATATGCATAGTTTTTTATCCTGTTGTTTTCATCAAATTATGAGCATTTGATTATGTGCATTTGCATATCATTAAATATTATTTTACATCATCTTTCAGTTACTGCATGGCTTTCTGTTATATAGATGTACTAAGGTTTAGTTTTTGTTATTTTAAACAGTGCTACATGGACATTCATGATTATTTTCACAAAATAAATTTCTAAGAGGTGAAATTGGTTTGCCGTGCTACCTCCTAACCTGAGCGCTGTCCCTGTTCTCAGGGGACAGGTTTCAGAGCCCCTTTCTCTGCTTGGAGTTCAAATCCCAAATGGGTTCTCACATTGGGCAGTGCCATGACACTTGCTGCATCACACCACAACCCATCACCAGGCAGCAAAAGGTCGGGTGTTTAAGGTCTTTGTCATCACCACATGTCCATTGTCATGTGGATCACACTATGGTGCCCTTGGCAATTCCCTTTGAACAAAAGCCATGCCCAGTTACTTTTGGGGAATGGCACATCCCAGAAACTTCCTGTGGGTACACAGAGCCCTTATACCTCTCATTGCAGCCGGAAGATGCCCGAAGTGGATTATGTGGTTCTGTCAGAATGGTTTGACTGGATCGTGAAGAACACTGATGTGTCCATGGATTTGATAGGTGAGATGGCCCGTCCTGGCCTCCCTCCCCTGGGTCCGGTGAGGATGAGCTTGTTCAGGTAGCCAACCAGCAGGGGTGTTGGGTGGGGCTCTTACCATTGGTGATTCTTTCCCCATATTATTTCAGCCTTTTCCCCAAGAGCAGACAGAATGTGGGGGCTCCTGATCCCTCCTGGAGAAGCACTTGGCCTTTGTTTCTCAGTCTGTTCTTCCTGGGTCTATTGTGATCTGGTTGGTTTTTCCAGTTTGTAAGGGAGGGTGGAGATGACAAAACATTAACTGACACCCACTGAGTGCTGGGCCCTGTGTTAAGCTCTGTCTGGAGCCTTATTCAGCCTCACAATGACCTCGTGAGGTTTGTGACATGGAAAGGGAACAAAAGTCAGATGAGGGTCAAGGTGCCTGGCAGGTCACACAAGCTGGTCAGTTGTCTAGCTGTGAGCTGACCCTGGTCTGTGTCTCCTGCTCAGAGATGCTGGCAGATGTTTCCTCTCCATGCCTCGCTTACGTGCCCTCCTTCCCCATCTCCTTGGCTTTCACTTCCAAGCCACAAACAGTCATTAGAACCATGTATCTTTTTTTTTAAATCTCAGTTTATCTCCGAACCACTCCTGAGACCTGTTATCAGAGGTTAAAGATGAGATGCAGAGAAGAGGAGAAGGTCATTCCATTGGTAAGAGTCCCTATATCCTGGTTAGAGATGAACTGGAAGCCACCATCATCTCAGCCTGTGAGATCATTGTGCTGTTGTCACACAGAGAGAAACAGGAACTGAGCGTATCAGAGGGTGAACTCTGACTTTCTCTGTGGCTGGAAACCCTGAGTCATGTCCAGATTTGCTTCACTTCCCGTGTCCCAGACTCAGCAGCTGGCACCCTCCCCCTGTCCCTGCCCAGGCATCACCAGGGCTTGTCTAGTCCATCTCTTGAAGATAGCTTGCCTCCATGCCCTCTGAATCCATTCTAGAATGTGCCCTCTTGCTTGCTGCTGCTCGGAGGTGACACTCACTGGTGTTTGCTTACTGCTTCACCCTTCTGGGTCTGGTTCAAGGCCACATTGACTCCAGTCGGAATTGTTGTAACAGGCTTGAACTGCTCTCCTTGCCTTGGTCCCTCACTCCCCACATCTGCCTTCAAAATCCAGACTGCAGACTGCTGCTTGGGTGATGTTTCTAATACAGAACATCACACATGTAGTTTTTTAGCCCCAAACCCTTCAGTGCCTCAACATGGTCTAGGCCAAAGTCCCCATTTTGTAGCGTGCCATATGAGATCCTGTATAATGGCTTAATCTTCCTCCACTCTCTGACTTTTATATTCTGGCCATAAGGAACTAGTTGTGGCTGTACGCACTCATTCACACACATACTCACTCACCATGGAGTTGCACAAATGTGCTTTTGCATAGTGGTTTCTTTTGCCTTCCAAGTTCAGTTCAGATGTCACTTACTATAGGAATCCTTCCCTGACCTTCTCTCCATTTTGCTGCCCCAGCCCCTGGGCTTATTATGATCATAGCCCTTGAGATCACCATATTGGAACTGTTTGTTTACGTTTGTTCCTCATCCCTCAGGAAATTGTTAACTTTTAAAATTAGATCTTATTCCCTCTGTATTCCCATCAGGTGTCCCAGGGCCTTGACCTAGGAGTTTCTCAGTTAATAGTAGAGTGGATGCCCCATGTGAGAAGCTACCCCTGAAATACACAGATAGAGGCTGGGCAGTGGCTAATGGGATGTCACGGTGATCTGAGCTCAAGATGGGCTGGACTGAGGGCCCTGAGGCCTATCCAGATCCTGAGGCTTGTCCAGCCTTGTTTGCCTGGGCACCAGCAAGGTAGATTCCAAGTATGAAGGCCCAGGCCTTGCTCTGGGCAGCTCCTTTGAATCCAGAGAAAGGGGTGATTAAAGAAAGGGCACAGTAGAGCAGGGATGGACCATGCTGTGATAGAGCAGAGCTGATCTTTGTGCTGACCCAAATGTTCTAAAGAAATGCCAAGTCTGTAGTCCCCCCAAGCCACTATCCAAGCCATTGCCTTAACAGTTTTGACAAGGCCTAGAGGTCAAATCTATCTTGTTGCTAAGGGAGAATCAGTGGTGGGTGAAAAAGCAGCAGCAAGCTTCTGGGCTGGGAGTAAACTGCCGCTTGAGGAGGAGGTGTTGGTAGGTGGCCAAGAGCACATTGGCCTGCATGTGGAAGAGTGTGTGCCATCCAGTCCTTCCTGGTGTAGAGGCACGGATGACTTAGGGGCATATCTGGGCCTTTTCATCAGTGGGCTCCACCTCATTGTGCTTTCTGAAGTTGGTCTTTATGGTAGAGAGGATCCACAGGTTACAAGTTGTCTGGTGGGGTCAAAGCAGTAGGAGTGGGGCTTCTAGACCAGTGAGGATCACATCCCTCTTGGTGGGAAGGAAAGGTTCAGGCTGCCCAAGGCTGGGATTCCTGGCCATGGTGTGGCTATGGATCCCCCTCCCCCAAGGAACTGGTGGCCCTGCTGCTAAAAAAAAAAAAGACAGTAAACAAGAGAAGCTGGGCAGGAGTGTGTAGAGTAAGCCCCAGCAGAATGCACCCGAGGGCTGGGCTGGGCTGGGCTGGGCTGACCGTTATGATGCTTGGGCTCATTGTCAGAGTGAACAGCTGCATTTATCACTGTCTACCTGAGCCAGGTTGGTTGTTGTGGGCTTCTTTGTCCAAGCCACTACCCCACTGTCATTGACATTCACCCTACCTGCCCGAGACTCTGGGTAGGAGAGGTGTGCTTGCCCTCTTCTGTGATTAACAGCCTGTTTGTGTGTTTCCCGGCAGGAATATCTGGATGCTATTCACCACCTCTATGAGGAATGGCTCATCAAAGGGGGCCCTTTCCCTATAGTGGCCCCTGTTCTGGTAAGTTCTCCTGACAGGGCAGGAGACTTTTCTAGAAGGGAGAGTGATCTGGGGAATGTTAGCCATTCTTCAGTCTGGGGAAGGACTGAGTCCTTGAGAGCTCAAGAATGTAGAAGCAGCAAACAGGGAGGGTGGAAGTATCTCTTGCTTTCTCATAGTCCCCATTCTGATCTGAGTCTCAGAGTGACTTGGACAGACACGAGAGAAGGTGATTTTTAGTGACATTACACCAATGACCACAGTAGTATCTCACTTATCCAGCATCATCAACAAAGGAATGTTCTAGATAGATGGCTGAAGCCTGTTGAGCTGGGTTTTTGTTTTAACCATTTGGGATGAGGTCTTTCTGATGCAACAATCCCTTTTCTAGTGAATGGCAGGCTCAGAACCTCATTGCCCCTATTCTTGGTGACTCGGGGCCTCTGAAGGAATATCATTTTCTGTTCTAGGCTGTTACACAGTGATGCCTTAGGAGGTGCTGAAGTGTGTAGGACTGTTTGCCACAGGTTACTAATATTTTTGAGTTCCTGTTTTTGCTCTTTAAGGTAACCCTTCTTTCTCCTGCCAACAGTCACCATTTCTAACTCTACAGATGTGTGTGCCCTGTTCATGATTCCTTGCTTCTCTGTCCCCTTATTTTTTGATTTACTGCTGCTAAATCTCTTCAGGCAGGCAGATGAATACCTAAGACTGTTAGCAATGTGTCTTCAGTGTGGGTCTGAGGGAGGGTCGTGCACAGACTGTTTGGACTGCTCAAACACTTCTACTCATGGCTCTTCCAGGCAGTGAGGTTGCTGGAAAGTGAGATATTACTATAGTGGATTTTTAAAGAAGTACAGTATAATTTTTCCCTCATTATAGCAGGTTAGATGATATAAAATGATGAGACAAAAATCATGTATGAGCTTTCTGCAGGGACAACTGTAGTGGGTTCTTAAGTGAAAATATAGTCGACAAGGTAGATTGATCTAGAACTGGGCACTGTTTGGCTTTAACCTTCCTCCCTGCCTCCTCCTGCCTGCGCCCAACTCTCTCTCTTCATCTTGTAGGGAGGATGATGTTAAAGTCAACTGCAGGCCTGTGACCATGTGTTTAATTTCCAGGTGATAGAGGCTGACCACGACATGCAGAAAATGTTAGAACTCCTTGAACAAAACCGGGACCGAATATTAACTCCAGGGAATCAGAAACATGGTCCATAGGACAGGAGAGATCATGCCAGAAAAATGCTTGCTGCTGCCAAGTTAACTATTAGGAATGATGTGGAAAATCTCCTCTTGGGAGGGCTTTCTATCTGGCCAGATTTGCTTTCCTAATTGTCTTTCTTCTTGCCAGTGTCTTTATCCTGGGTTTCTGGCCCTAGAGGGTAAATGGCAAATGGGACCAATGAGTTTGTCATGCCCTTTAATGTTCACAGCTTTGCATTTCCCCTGGTGCCTCTTGTGGTGGTTGCCCATTGCTGGGCCCCTCTAAATTAAGCCCTCAGAAAGGGCCAGCTGACATCATGCTGGATTCATAGTCTTTAACCCTTCAGACCACACAGGAGGGTGAGGTAGTGGTCTTACATATCAGAGTCGGAAATAGAAGCTCAGAGAGGCTAAGGGACTCCCCAAGGTCACACAGCCAGGTAACTGGCATCATTCAGACTTTTGGCTGTTCAAAAATGTTGTCTTACCCCAGGCTGCCTTGTCCTGAGAGCCCTGTCTTCCCTGGCCGGAGACCTTCACATCTGTGTCGGGAGAGCCAGCAGTGTGTGGAGCAAATGTCATCATTTCCTCATGATTTTAGCAGTGCTCAAGACATTCGGCATTTCTAAGCTTTCACAAAATTGTGCTGTGTTTGGCTTGAGACCAGCATTTAGAGGTGTCTCAGCATGGGGCACTGTGGCATTTACCACCTTGTCACCTGAGTATCTGGGCTTCTGTCCTTAGGAGAATTATGTGTTGGCTCCTGAATGGTGCTTGGCCTCCTGGTGATGAAGGTCCTGCTTGAGCTTCCACTAGTTCCATATCAGAGAAATGGCTTTTGGCACCTGGCTAGTTTGCATAATGCTGATCAGGGGCAAGGAGCCACCAGCATGGCTTCTGAGGCTCCCTTACTCCATAGTGACCTTGTGTATGGAGGTTTGCCCTTAGAATTCTTGAGAGTTTGTGCCCGGGAGAGAGATGCAAGCGGCCTTAAGTCTTTATGAAGTGTTTTTTGATCCAAGGGGACACCTTCAACCATAAGTATGAAACCATCTTTATTGGTTCAGAAAATATCTTAGATTTGCTCAGCTGTAACAATGCATTGAAGGCACAGCTGTCTCTTGAGTCAAGCAGGAAGCGAGAGAAAGGAATAACATTGTCTTTGGGGCAGTCTGAATGAAAAAGTCAGGGCTTGTAAGCAAAGGCTCTTGGAGCACTAGTGGAGGTGAGTAGAGAGCTTCAAGAACAGTGGTTGCAAGCACGGGGCAGGGGCAGTTGTGAATTTTGGGGAAACAGGCCTGGGCACTTCCTGAGAAGCGGTTGGTGTAAATGAAAGTTGGAAGGTCACACCCTCTGTGAGTGTGGCACCTGTGTATGCAGTTCTCTAATGCTAAATAGGTGACAGGTGCTCCTGGTGGTCTAGTCCCAGAGGGAGTGCTAAGAGGGCAAGCACTGTGGCTCCTGGCCCTTCTGGTCTGGACAGATCCTTGGGCTGTGTGGGCAGGATGAGGGGCAGCAGCTCAATGGGGATGTATTTCAGTGGAAATGATTGAGTAGAAACCTGGAGGAGGCAGGAACCTCTGCTACCAGGACCCTTGGCATGCAGGGGCCGTCTTTAGGAATTTGTAAATGATTGGTCTACTGTTTTCCCCACAGCTCAATTTGAGCATCTGCTTTGGGGAAATGTAAAAAAAAAAAAAAAAAAAAAAAAATCTTGTTCTGTAGTAGCCAATAAATCCTTCACCTAAAAGCTGATGTTAACTTTGGAGTGCTTCCTATGCCAGCAATTTTAGCTCCCTGCAGCATCCTAGTTCCAATAAGTTAATGTTTTTTTATTCATTCATTTATTATTTATTTATTTATTTATTTATTTAGGTTAATTCTCACCCTCACCTGAGGATTTTTTTGCATTGATTTTTAGAGAGAGTGGAAGGCAGCAAGTTGGAGGAGGAGGGAGAGAGAGAGAGAAACACTGATGTGAGAGACAGACACATCAGTTAGTTGCCTCCTACACCCACTTCGTCTGGGCTAGGGATAGAACCTGCAACCTAGATACATACTCTTGACTGGGAATCGAACCTGAGACCCTTTTCTGTGTGGTGCAGAGGCCAGTGCTCTAACCCCTGAGCTATACCAGCCAGGCAATGTGTTTTTCTTTTTTAAGCACTGTTTTTCCTAACCTGGGATGTGTGGGTCCAGAAGAGCTGGCTGTGCTCTTACCTAGCACCATGGAGAGGATGCTCTGGGTATTCACAGTGGCCAGGCCTGGTTGCAGAAATCTTCCAGCCTAAAGATGTCACATGAAAATGCTAGAGCTCAGCTTGCACAAGGGTTGCTTTCTCTGTGTGGCAGGCGGGCAGATGGTGGCAGATGTTGAGGAGCAGTTATTAACACAACTTTGAGCCAGAGCAGGAAGCAAGCAGACACGGGGCCTAGTTCTTAGAGCAGAGGGAGGCATTCCCCAGGGACTCAAAGGAATGGCTAGTGTTCCTTGGAGAACACATTGGGCAGCACTATTTTTGGGGACCTGTAGCTGCTGATGACTCCCAGTTTTTGTTCCCTTTGGGATTCTCCAGCGCGTGGTTTTCCAATTTCGGAGCATCAGAGCCCCCTGGAGGGTGTGATAGAACACAGGTTCCCAGCCTACCTCCAGTGTTTCTGATTCACTGGGATGGGCCTGAGAATTTGTTTTCTAACAACTTTCCAGGTGGTGATGAGGCTGTTGGTGCAGGGACCACTCTTTGAGAACCAGCTATCTAGATTTATGTTTTTTAGAATCGCACATCCAGGAGTTCAAAGAAACCTTGTTACATTGTTGAACCTCTTGTGAGTATTGATCATCTTCTCTGACAAATGGGTGCACTGTTCACTTCTCAGGGCTGAGGATAACTGACCTGGCATATGGAAGGGGCCTGGACCATGGCCTGGTATGCAACAGATGTCCCATAAATGTCAGTTCAGCTGATGGCCTCAGCACAACTGGACCATGATGCAGTTAGTGGCTTGGTGATGCCGGTAACCACAGTAACGAGCATTTCCCACCATAGCGGCATGGGTACACACTCTCATCAGTTAACCCGAGGACCATTGTGACTGACCTGTTTAGTAGGGACAGGTCACAGGCCTGGCTGAGGCTGACCGTCAGGACTGTACCTCTGCAAAGTGCCTCATGGTCATTCTAGAATAACAGAGCATGGGACAAGCAGTTGGCTTTTGTTTTAAAAAATATCCCCATTTCTCATGGGGCTCCAGATCTGCACCTGCTGTTCTTTGGTGTGAGAGGGAGGGATGGAAGGGACACAGTTGCCTCTCACGCTGTGGGAACTGACACATCTTGTACCAGGAAAGCCCTGGAGCTCCTTATACACTAAGCTGATGATTTTCTAGTCTGTTGTCTCATTTCTTGGCAGATCTTCTCCATGGGCCCAGGTGACTTCCCACTCGCCTGTTTCCTAATGTGCAGTTCAGATTTATCTGTAGCCAGGGATGGGTAGATCTTGGCAGCTCCAGGCTTATTTTTCGAAATGCCCAGAAATAATGAGCAGTGACTGGTTGCTAAGTTTTAAATGAACCTTACCTTTTGGGATCCACTTAGTTTTGTAGGTGGTCTTGGAATTTGGAATCAGAACATGGACTATGATCCCACTTTCCCTGGTTATTGACTGCAGGACCTTGGGCAAGTCACCTCACTTCTATTGTCCTGTTTCTTCTTCCCATGGACACTGCGATTCAGTTTTTCCTCTCACAGCGGGGGGTGGCGGGGTGGGGGGTGCTGCACAGACTGGGAAAGGGTGAGTTAAATGGGTGATAAACAAACATAGCAGGTCTGGAGCAGTGCCTGGCTACTTTCTGCTCCTTTGAAATCCTTCCACCTCTCTCTACTTGGCTGGAGAGGTGGCCAGACTTTCTTGAACTGTCTCTCCAGGAACGGGCAAAGTTCCTGGAGGGGTGGCCATTGGTGGGCTGCTCCAAGCCAGGGGGTGGAGATTCTGCATTTTCGTTTTTAGAACATGCTTCTCCATCAAGGCTATGGGGGAAATATTATATCAGCATCCTCCCAGCCATTTGCTCACTCTGGAGTTCCCAGGCAGTCTGTAAGCAGGCCTCTGTTGTTTCCCTGCCTTCTGACAGCCCTTATGCATCAGCCCTGTGCCAGGCTCTGTGCTGTGTGCCAGGCCCACACTGGTGAACAGGAGACATGGATTATCCACTCCTGAAACATTAGCTCACTAAAGGTGTTCCACCACCCTGAAATATCTTCAAAAAAGCCTACACTGACGCAGGAGGGCACCAGCAGCCTCACTTCAACACGGTCATCCACTTCAAAGAATCAATGATAAAACCGACACAAACAATAAGATTTCAGTGAAGTAGCAGGATACAGAATTAACTTATACAACCAATCAACAGAGGTTATAATGGTAGTGAAAATCCCATGTATAATGTTAACAAAGAAGATTAAATACTTTGGTATAAAATTAGCAAGAAATGTGCAAAACTATACAAGAAAAATGTTAGACACTCTGTGAGACTTGAACATCCCATTCTTGGATAGCAGGACTCAGCATTATAAAGGTGTCAGTTTCCCTAAGTGAAGCAATTCCAATAGAAATTTCAGAGGCTATTTTAGTTACATTTGATGAAAGTTCACATAGAAAAACAAACCTACAGGAATAACCAGGAAATCACTGAGAAAGAAAAATGATAATGGAAGACTAGCCTTACCATACATTAAAGCATACTATAAAACCTCTGTAATTAAAGCAGTGTGGTCCTGGTGCACAAGGAGACAAGTACACCATTGGAATAGAACAGAGAGCCCGGAAACAGACCTGAGTACATGTGGAAACAGTTTGATGAAGTTGTCATCTCAAATCATTGGGTTGAATATGTACTTTTTAATAAATAGTATTGAGATGACTGGTAGCTCTTGAAAAAAGATCAAATAGATCCACATCTATTTTAGATCCAGATCCATATCTCACATTATACCTAAGAATCCCTGGTTAGGGATCTAAATGTAAAAATTGAAACCATACAAGTACTTGAAGAAAGCATGGATGAATTATTTTTTAAAATTTTGAGGTAGAGAAAGGTTTCTACCTATGATTCAAAATCCAGGGGCAATAAAAGATGAATAAATTTGACTAAATAACAAATTTAAAATTTGTATGACAAACACCATAAACAAAAACAAAAGACAGTTAACAAACTTGAAGAATAATCACACATGTCACAGACAAAGGACTAATAGCTTCATTTATTAAAAAAATGAAGGACAACAAAAAATCCAATAGAAAAATGAGAAAAAGATGTGAACAATTTACAAAAAGTTATAAAAATGGCCCTTAACCATATGCAAAATACTCAGATTCACTCAGAGAATACTATGCAAATACTATGATTTGAATATTTGTGTCTCCCCCTACTCCAAATTCATATGTTGGAAACCTAATGTACAAGGTATTGGTTTTAGGAGGTGGACCTTTGGGAGGTGATTAGGTCATGAGAGTGGAGCCCTTGTGAGTGGGATTAGTGTTCTTTTAAAAGAGACCCCACAGAGCCTCTTCCACCATGTGAGGACACAGCAAGAGGTCAGCAGACTGCAACCCAGAAGAGGGTCTTCACCAGAACCCGGCTGTGCTGGCACCGCAATCTGGGGCTTCCAGCCTCCAGGACTGTGAGAAATAAATTTCTGTTGTTTATAAGCTACCCAGTGTGTGGTATTTTGTTCTAGCAGCTCAGACAGACTAAGACTGCAAATTAAAACTGAGATACCTTTTCTTACCTACAGTTGTCCCTCGCCACTTCGCGCTTCGACTTTCGCGGCTTCACTTATCGCAGTTTTTTCAAATATATTCATTAAAAAGTTGATCGAGACAGTGGAAATGATACAGCATGCGCTCAATTGTCTGAGTCGATTATACACCCCTGTATTACAATTAAAATTACTGTACGTATGGACTGTGAATCCTTCAACTCCAGGTGCAACCACTAGATCACTCCTTGTGTGTGGGCAATAACTTTTTTTCCAAAAAATTGAGTGTGGTGAGACCAAACCAATCAGAGCATGCTGTTCACTGATTGGCAATCCTATTCTCTTTTTATCCTGGCCACTGATTGGCTCAGCCTCATGCAAGTTCGTTTCTCTCACACATGCTTCTACATCGCTACACATCAGAGGCATCTTTGCTCTTGTGTTTGCAATTTCTGAGAATTTTTATCTAGGCCCCATGATGGCTCCTAAACGTGATATCTGTAACATCTAATATGTCTTATTTTCTCTTATTTTGTCTAATATATTGGGTAATACGAGTGTAATGGTGACTAAAGGGTGTTATTTCATGTCTAGAGGGCTCTAATAATGTTAAAAAACATATTTAGAAGGTTTTCTATGCTCTAACTGCAAAAATATTTGATTTATAAATAAAGAATCCTACTTTGCAGAAATTCATTTATCGCAGTAGAGTTTGGAACTGATTAACTGCGATAAATGAGGGCTGACTGTATAGCCTGGCAAAACCACCACCACCACCACCACCACCACCACCACCACCATCATCATCATCAACAACAACAACAATAACAAATTCACCTAAAAAACCCAATGATCAAAAAACCCACGTTCTGTTACTGAGAAGCTGTGAGGAAACAAACACTCTAATAAATTGCTGGGGGCGGAGAGGGATTTTTGCACATTTGTACTCTTCTGGAGAGAAATTTGATAACATC